AAAAAAAAAAAAAAAAAAAAAAAAAAGCAGGAAAATGATATTTCTGTTGTCCTATCTTCAAGTTCACTGATTCTTCTGCCTGCTCAAATCTGCTTTTGAATCCCTCAAGTGAATTTTTCATTTCAGTTACTGTACTTTTCAGCTGCAAAATTTCTTTTTGGTTTCCTTTTAGGCTTTTATTCTCTTAGGACATCTCTTATTTTCTCCACCCACAGCTAAAGAATACTTTCACCATTGTTCTGTCTAAACAAAATTCAGGGGAAAAATTGTTATTAAAAAAATTTCCTTCTGAAATTCAAGAAAATATAGATATATTTACAGTCTAAGAAATTATATGCAATCTAGCCATGCATTATTTTTTTTTTTTTGGAGGGCATACCGTGCACTTGTGGGATCTTAGTTCCCCAACCAGGGATTAAACCTGAGCCCTGGGCAGTGAAAGCGTGGAGTCCTAACCACTGGACCACCAGGGAATTCTCTAGGCTTTCTATCTCTTTATTTTAAGTTTGTTCATACATTTTCTTGACTTTCTCCATATATTCATTTAGTTCTTTGAGCATTTTTAAGACATTTTTTGAAGTCTTTGTCTAGAATTTCTGCCATCAGTTCTTTTTCAGGGACAGTTTCTGTTGATTTATTTTTTTCCTTTGAAGGGGCCCTGCTTTCCTGTTTTCTTTATATGCCTTGTGATTTTTTTTTTTTTTTTGGCTGCTGAAAACTGGACACTTGAATCTAATGTAGTAACTCTAGAAATCAAATACTCCTCTTCCTTGGGGTTTGCTAATTTTTTGTCTTTTTGTTTGTTTCTTTTTGATTGTTGTAGACTGCCTTTCTGCTGAGGGCCAGCCTAAACTTAAGGTTGTCTCATGTCTTTTTTGAGACTTTGGTGGGCATGAACAGTCACATTGTAATTTTCCCCATATATGCAGTTGTTTGTGAATGTCCTAGTCTTTACAAGAGGGAAATTAAGGGGAAATTTAAGCGGGAAAACAGAAAAAAAGAAGAGGGGGGAAAAAGGTTGCTGGCCCTTTAAATCCTCTGGCAGTCCAGGCCACCGGAGAGGCTTGCAGCGAGGGTGCCGGTGCAACAACAATGGCTGCCCACTTCTTTGTCTGCATTTCTGTGGTCAGAAGCAGCAATCAGTGATCAGAGTCTGCCTCCCCAGTATTTGGAGGACAGGGTCCTTTTTGCTGATGGCGGGCTCCAGCAAGCTGCTCCAGAAGCACATGCACAGGTGCCTGCTGAGTGGCTGGAGGTGGGGGTAGGGAGCTGCTACCCCTAAGAGCTGAAATTAACCCCATTTAGCTTCCAAGTCTTCCCTGGCAGTTGCAAGCCTTCTGGAGGTTCCAGAGTTCCAAAGAATTGTTAGTTACATCAGACAGAGTCGGCCAGTGCAGTTGTTGTGTAGGTGGGGAGACAGATCCCTGGTATTTGTTCCTTGGCTATCTCCTGGAACCCTCTGTGTATTTTGAAATTATTTCGTCTTGTCAAATTGTTGCCTCTCCCTCTGCAACATACGAAGGATTGTGTGAATGTTATTATAATATATAATATGCATAATATTATTAGTTTACTGGAGTGCACATTTTCTGTTAATTCCAGCATTTGGTGTGTTTAATCTTTTTATTTTTGCTAATCAGGTAGGCAAAAAAATATCATTGTGTTTGATTTATTTGCATTTAACTGATTAGTATGAAAGAAATTTGTATTTTTTCTCGGAATTGCTGTTCATAACGTTTTGACATTAATGCTTTAAATTTGGTTGTAGTCCTTTATAGTTGGCTTGAGGCTTGGGAAGAAAATATGAGAGTTTATTTGTAAGTATCGTAGCTCCAGGATTCTTATCTGTAATTTATTTTCTCACAAGTTTCTTGCATTGTGTTAATTTACATTTCAGCCTTATGATATTTCTATACAAACCGCTGAATTGCCGTATTTTTACTTTATATCTGGTTATTGATGTTGTACTAATAACTATTTACAAAATACCTTTCATAGACACAGTCTTACAACAGGTCATGAGGTTGATTGTATTTTGCAGGTGCGGAAACGGAAGCTTTGAGAGAGTAAGAAACTTGCCCAGATGTCCAGTGCACTTTTTCAGTAATAATACAAAGGGCACGGAGTCTCAAGGTCAAGTTTTGGCCCTGCAGCTGATTCATTTAATCAGTTCTTGTGTCTATCTTATTAGCTGCAGAATGAAGATGATTTTTTTCCTTTTTATCTGTTAGATAATATCCAAAAGCTAATATATGTTCTTCGATAATAGCAGTGTTATTATTTTTTAAATCTAGAAATGAGCACAGAAGCAGAGCAACAGCTTCTCCATCATGCCAGAAACGGCAACGCTGAAGAAGTAAGACAGTTATTGGAAACCATGGAAAGGAATGAAGTAACTGCTGACATTAACTGCAAAGGTAACCTTTGAATGGATTTTTTAGCTTTTTCTTATGAGTATGTACTACTTTATCATTTATTTAGCACTAATCTTTCTGAACTAGAAATAAATTTTCATCTCTTATCCTAGGAAGAACCCCCATAAGAGTGGATACTCTCCTTCTCCCCTCTAAGTCAGAGAAATTGAGATCCAGTCTTAATATTGTCATGGGTCCTAAACCTTATGAACTACAAGGGTGACCCCCGAGTCCACAGGATGCATGCTATGATAATTTCTTTTTCTCGAAGACGTTGTAGGCGAAGCGTGTGAAGCACCTTAGAAATATTGTCAGACAGGATCGTACCCTCACTGAGATTAGTAGATTACTAGCTCAAACTAGTCTGCATTGCACAATATGTACAGAATATGGAAGCTATGAAGTGCAGGGTGTTAGGGAACATATAAGAAGTATGTAACTGGAACTCGAAGGATTAGCTTCTTGGAGGAAATTATTCTAAGGTGATATATGAAGAGTACGTAGACTTAACCAAGTAAAAATAGAGAAGAAAGGGGGTCAAGGCAGAAGAAACGTCATATGCCAAGGTCCTGAGGTGAGAAGCAGCCCAGATGGCAAGGGCTTTTGCAGGCAGGAGGGGTGAGGGATAAGGCTAGGTGGGTAGGTAGCAGCCAAATCACAATGTGCTTTGTGTAGCAAGGTTACAAGTATATTAAACTCAGGGGTGCAGAGAAATAGGCTTTATTTTCTAAATTGGCTCTGATATTTCAACAAGCGCCTTCTCATTTTGGGAGTTTGGAGGACTAAATATAAGTCTTTGGGTCCCTCCATTTCAGTAGCTTTTTTGATAAATGATTGGCCTCCCAGAGCCTCTCACCTGTGTCTTCCCCATCTCACCTGAGGTGGCCTGTAAATGTAAAGGCGAGCCTTGTTCTGTGTGGACGGGCTTTGGTCCCTTGGTAACCTGTCTTCCTAGTGCCCCTGAAGCATTTGTAGCTGAAGTAAAACTCAGAGTCAAATGCAGGTTTTTCATAAGCACAGGTGGTGCTCCTTGGCTGTGTTGGGAGTCTCATCCTAGCTCTTGTTGGCTTTGTGTCACCCTGAACCTCTCATGTCTCCCTGTGGCACGTGGCCTAGGCTTGCTGGTTCACCTCGGCCACACTCCTGTGGGTGTGACCTTGGGGGTGTTGAGTGACCCGTGGGGGCTCGGAGCAGCTCTAGGTAGCCAACATTTGGCCTTCCCGCTGCCTGCACTACTGAGTTTACTTTGACGTGGCCACCGTGCAGGTTGGTGCTAGGCTAGGTGGCCTGGTAGGGGACCTTTTCCTAGCATCCTACATGCCACTGCCTGTTCTCAGTGTGCCCTCGACTTATCTCACTCTCCGGGCTTAGAATCAGGAGCCACATGCCCCGTTTTACGTCTTTTCCTCTCCCACAGCCCTCTGTCACTGACAGGTATTTTGTTCTGCTGTGTCACATTCTCCTGTCATAGAGCAGCAAACTTCATGGCCTCACCCTCCGTGTGGAAGGAGTATTATCTTTGTAGCAGTGAAGAAACCACGCTCTGAGTTGTCCGGAAATTACAGTCTGAGTCGGTTCTTGGAATGCTAAAGGAATTCTAAAAATCCTTCTCATCCTTCAACAGAAACCTCGTTCTTAATCTTTACCTTGGGATTCTGTTTTGAATGCCAGAAACATGCCTGGTTTGATGATCTTCAGCAACCCTTTACTTTCTACCAACCACCGCGCCTCACCCATGGTTGCCTCAGGCTAGTTAGTGGAGAGTCACCTACTTGGAAATGTAAAACTGAGAGACAGATGTTACTGCTTTTTCAAAATTTCACCCTCATTATACCTGTCAGTCAGACTTGTCTTAAGGGCAATTTGAAGGGTTTATGTAGAGGAACAACGTAATCAGGTGATGTGAGTTCACCCCACAGAAGTGAGTGGGGAGGGCTGGGGCTGGGTGTGTGAGTGTCTCCACATGGGAATCACTATGCCTGGCATTTCTTGGTTTTCTTTTCTATCTCATTTTGTTTTTCCAAACCCTGAGAAATTGAGAAAATGGTAAAGTGTAGTATAATTCTTCTGCAAGAATTAAAGCTCAACAATCAACATAGAGATGTTACTGGTTGGGAGGAATCCACTAATGTCAAGTTTAAGGGAGAGAGGGAAGCGCTGACGTGCATTTGAAGGTTAAGGTCAACACTTCTAGGCTAGGGGCACAAAGGAAGAGCTAATTGGGCAGTTTGGCTTGTAGCTGTTGCTGTTATGAGTGTGTGTTCATGGTCCCATCTGTTGCTAATGGCGAGACATTCTTGCAAATGAAATAAATACTAATATGTTTATACGCATAGCATGCTTTGTATAAATTCTATGAGTGATCTAAAAGATAAGTTTTTGAAAGCAAAATAAGAGCTTATTTTGGCAACATCAACACATGATTTTTTTTTTTTTTTTTTTTTTTGTGGTACGCGAGCCTCTCACTGTTGTGGCCTCTCCCGTTGCACAGCACAGGCTCCAGCTGCGCAGGCCCAGCGGCCATGGCCCACGGGCCCAGCCGCTCCGTGGCATGTGGGATCCTCCCAGACTGGGGCACGAACCCGTGTCCCCTGCATTGGCAGGCGGACTCTCAACCACTGTGCCACTAGGGAAGCCCTCAACACATGATTTTGTGTAGTGCTGTCCTGTTGCTTTGCTGGAAGGTCTGCATGGGAAGTTACTTGAGTATTACCCGTAACATCTGCTGGTGTTTCCCAGTGTTTAATATTCAGTATAGGGTACAGTTTTCTGTAAATATTTCTAAACTTGATATTTTTATTGATAAAAAAATTTTGGGTGTCCATAATAAGTTGTAAAGAGTATAAAGGATACTTGGAGCATTATATTTTCATGACTTAATAGCTCATTTGCTTATTTATTTTTTTATGTAGATACTGATTTGTTGATAGGGGAAAGTATCTCTGTGACATTATTTACCAAAGTGAAATTAAAAAGTAGTTTTAATTATTAAAGATTATCAAGAACTTGTAGAGTATGGCCCTTTTTTTTTTAAACATTTTTACTGGTATTTGGAGTATTTTAAGAATTATTTAGGATTCTGTAAATTGACTCCTTGATTCAGAATCCCATGTGGAAGCACTAGATGGTGAGGAGACCCGTTCAGAAGCAGCAGCTCAGAGGAGACTGTTGTGGTTAAATGGGAGTAGAAGCAATGGGAATGGTGAAAAGTAGGTATAGTTAACATTTAGGAGGTAGAATTGATAGGACTGATTAAGTTGGGCAGGGGTGAAAAGGAGAAAGGCAGACGAGTGGTGCTTATTTCTGACTTGAGAAGAGAGGTGAATAATGGGGCAGTTCATTGTGAAAACGATGTGGGAGGGGGAACAGGTGTTTTTTCTGTGCACATGTGTATGTGTAAGGTAAGTGAGTTCAGCTTTGTACCTCCTGAGCATAAGATATTCTTGTATCGTCCAAATGGAGGTGAATAGTAGAGTTGGAAATGGAAATACGGATTTTGAAGTGAAGAGCCTATAAACAAAGCAGTGAGAAAGGGCCAAGAGGTGTGATTATTGGAGATTCTAGTAATGAAGGATAATCAGAGAAAGTCGAGTTTCCACAGAACCCTGGGAAGAAGTGCAGGACTGTGGAGGCTCTTGGCCTGGGCTGTCAGATGCCGTCCAGTGACGCGGTGCGCTGGCTGCTGAAAAGTGCCCCTGGGATCCAGTGACACCATTTATTGGTAAAAGTTGAGGACAGTTTTAGTGATGCAGTGGGAAATGAACCTGGTCTGCAGTGGGTGGGTAGCTGATGGGAGGGAACGCGAGGTGGGAAGCGTGAAGACTGGGGGGGGGAGGGGAGGAGCGTGAGGAGGACAAGGGCTGGAGGGCGCCCGGGACCAGAGGGGGGGGGGGTTGGGTGCCTTTGCTTGTTAGGTGGACAAGACGCAAATCCTCACCTGCTCCTTCCTATTCCCAACTAAAGAGGGAGAGGTTGAAGATGAGGAGGAAAAGGAGTACTTGGGAAGCAGGGGGGCATGGGATCCGGGATCCAGGAAGCGTGATTATTCTGAGGCCTCAGGAGGAAGGATGGGTGCCTGTGGGTAGAGGTATGGGGTGGATTTGGTGCCAGGAAGCCCAGGGAATCCTATGAAAGCTTCTCTTTTCTTTGTGAAGCTAAGAGATCAGATCATTTGCTAAGAAGCAGGTGTCTGGGTAAGAGGCTTGAGGGGAGTGGTGAGGATTGAAATACCTGTGCTGGAACATAGGAGGGACACCTGAACCGCAGTGTGGGAAGGATTGCCGGGCAGCAGTGAAGGCTTTGCTGAAGTATGAGATCCTGACTTTATGGAGCCATGAATCCACAAGGTTTTGTTATTTTTCTTCCACCACTGTTAGCAACCTGGGTGTGGTTATAGAAAAAATTGAGCTAGTGTGTTTATCAGGCTTCGGGGTTTTTCTAGGCTGCTGTGACAAAGATAGGATATTGAGGAAATGTTGAAGTGAGGGACCAAGAAATATATGCTGGATTTACCGAAGGAAGTGACGATGGTGGGGGTATTTACATAGAGGGAAAGCGATTAAAGAACTGGAGGGTCAGTTCAGTTGAATGAAGAGCAAGTCTGGGGTTTTGCCTGTGTGAGGAAGTGGGAAAGTGGGCACTCTGTGGGAAAGTGGGCTTTCTGTGTTCCTGAGTTCAGACGTGATGATGACACCCAGACTCTGGCCCTGGGGTTGGGTACCCCACGTGGAGCAGAGGCCAGGTTTGCGGGGAAGTGAGGGAAGCTGAGAGTCGGAGACACCAGGATACTGGCTCGTAGTAGTCACCCCTAGGATGGTGGCAGGATTTGCCGCAGGGAGAAAGACTGCTGCCCAGAGTTAACTGGTGAGGGGTGAGCCACTGGAGGCCGGTAGATGGCGGCAGAGAAAGCATTTGCAGGGCGGGTAGCGATGCTTAATGTCAGAACCCTCAGAGGAGGGGTTGTAACACGAGAGAGGTCATTGACCAAAGACCACGTTGGGTTTTGACGTGGAAATTCACGTGGCTCTGTGCCATGAGGACCAGTGGGGGTGTGGGAATGGGGGAGCCTCCCCCCGAGGGATAAAGGAGAATCATTGTCATCAGGAAGAGCTAGGTTAAGGACAGAGGGTAAAGAGAAATGTTCCATGCAATAGACTATGGCTCTAGGACGTATTGCCTGTGGAATTAGGGGTTCCAGAGGGCACCCATTTGAGAGGGAACAGTTATGGGAGTTTGGTAAGTGGCAAACAGTCACAGGGACACTGTTGGCGGTGACAGTCCCTCTGGGAGCTGTTAGAGCCCTGTTCTGGGTACACTGAGGCTGGTGGCGGGCTTTCTGTTGGCCCCAAACCTGAAATCCAGGAGCCGAGGGCAGCTGTTAACCTCCACCTCCTCCCGGGGAGGGCCGGGCAGTCTGCTGCTGGGCTTCGGGAGACCCTCTAGGGTGGTGGTGGGCTTTCGTGGCTTTCATAGGCTGTATTCTTTCAAGCTTCATTTGGAATTTTGGAGATCTTCTGAAGCTCTCTCAGGTCTAAGCTATAATGCCCTATTTTTTTTTTCCTAAATTGAATTAATGTAGCTCGTTTTCACCATGCTCAGTTGTTTTATACCTCTCCTCAGCTGAGATCTGACATTTCGTTGCTTTTAATTTGGGTTCTTGTTATCTAGTTGGACTCTCCCATGCTGGTAACACTTATCCTCATTACCTGTGATTTTATCTGAAGTTAAGGCTCCGTTTTCAGTCACCGCCCGCAGCGCTGACAGCTTGCTAAACGCTGCAGGAAAGATTGGTTCCCAGTTCCCCTTTCTGTCCACTCTCCTGACATGGGACAGGTTTTCAGCGAGAGGTGCTTTTCAGGAAATGCTGTGCCAAGAGACCCACGTGTTCGTTTGCTGATGGCAGGGTGGTTAGACACTCACTCGGCACCATAGAGCCGCAGGCCAGTTTGAATGTAACCCCCATCAAGTCTCCTTCCACCCTGTTAAGAGTGAGGACATCGAGTTAGGAAGGTGGCCGCAGAATCTGGGTCCTGTGAGTTCTGACCCATCTCACTCGGAACATGTATTACAGTGTCATGTCTCCTGCCTCTCACTCATCAGCAGTGCAGTGTGAAAGGGAGCCACCGGCCAATGTGTTGGAGCAGAGTATGAAGGAGAAATTATTTTATTGTTCAGTTACCTCAGGAACATCTAAAAATACCTCTTTCCTTTTTTTTTAGGAAGAAGTAAGTCTAATTTGGGCTGGACACCGCTTCATCTGGCCTGCTATTTTGGACATAGACAAGTGGTCCAGGATCTGTTAAAGGTATATGTGTGGCTTTAATTTTTAAATAAATAAAATATGGCTATTATGGAAATTATAAACATCTTGGAAAAGCCGTCTGGGCCATGATGCATAATGGCCTGTTCAAAGAAGTTGCTAATCACTTAATTGTTCTTGGCTAAATACATGAATTAGGGTAGCCTGACTAATTAAAATTCTGTTTTTTCAGTCGTTTGATTTTTACATCATTGACTTTTTAGAGTTGCAAAAATGGACATATGGATTAATGAAGATACTATGTTGTTTTTTGAGCATAGTTAAAAAAATGACCAAAGCACATCCTTTGTAATTAAAAAATAATGTCAGACTCTCTTAGTGAGCATGCTGTAACTTAAGAACTCATATTTCTCAATTCTGTGATGAATAATTTTTCACACATACTGATATTTATGAAATTGGGTTTCATCTTAAAATTGATCTGGTGGCCCCAAACCTGAAATCCAGGAGCTAAGGTGGCCCTTAAACCTCCAGCTCCTCCACCATTTAAATGGTGGCATCTTTTTCTTTTTTTTCCCTTAAACTCATTAAATTAAATTGGTGGAGAAAATGTGCTATTTTATTCAGAGACGGTTCTCCTTTTTTTTCAATATGAGTGTTTCTAAAGTAGAGCAAAGGGTATATAGATTTTTAAAGAAAAGTAGCTTTTTATTTTCTACCTATCAGGTAGATTTTTACTATAAGCTTACTGTTTTACTGTGAACTGAACTTATTTTTAGTTGTGACAACCAGTCAATATTAACAATTATTTTAATTTTTTAAATATTTAATATATTTTTAGGGAACTGTTTTCACCTTTGTATATTTCTTGATATGTGGAAGATGCTTAAAACTTTCATGTTTACTAGGCTGGTGCAGAAGTAAATGTATTAAATGACATGGGAGACACGCCACTTCACCGGGCTGCCTTTACAGGACGAAAGGTGAAAAACATTCTCTGTTCAATGTTTGCAAGTGAAATATTTGGAAGAGCAGTCACAAATGTTTTCTCCTTATAACCCTAGGAATAGCAACTGCGAAAAGCCACAAAAAATGTATAAACCAGCATTTTGGGTTAAAAGACCTCACGCTCTTAGTGATGGACAGTGAGGTCAAGTACGAAGGTCATGGAGACTCTACCCTCGTGTCCCTGATAGGAGCTCATTCAGTCTATGCTTGTGTCCTCCAGGGATGGGGAACTCCTGCACCTTCTTCATCTTCTTTTTATTTTTAAAACAGCTTTATTGGGGAATAATGTACATTGCATGAAACTCACCTGCTGTAAGTGTACATTTCAATGGGTTTTTTTTTATACATTTACACAGTTGTATGACCACAACCACAATCTAGTTTTGGGACATTTCCATTCCCCCAGAAAGTTTCCTCATGCCTGTTTGCATTCATTTCCTGCTTCTAGCCAAGCCTTAGGCTACCGCTGATTTACTTTCTGTTTCTAGATACTTGCTTTTTCTAGAAATTTCTTGTAAATGGGATCATACAAACATTTGTGTCTGACTTTTTTTTTTTTTTGTAAAATATTTAAAAAATGTTTTTAATTAAAAAAAACTTTCCTCAAGTCACACAGGGATTTATTGACTCAGGGATGATTAGAACCCAGAGGTCTCCAGTAGACATGTTGGTATTCTGGTTCTGCTTTGAACCAGGCTCACCGTGAATAGATTATTCCTTTCACTGGAAGAGGTTTTCATAATAAAGGTTCCTTTCTCTTTATTTTGCATCGTTATATCCTTGATGAAAAACCGCATCCCCGGGCATCAGCCGCCAAAGCAGGCAGTTTCCTCTTTGAAACTTGTGTCTGACTTTTTAAATTTAGTATAATTTTGTTAAGGTTCATCCATGATGTAGCATGTATCAGTAATTTGTTCTTTTTATGGCTGAATGACATTCTATTGTATGGATATACCACATTTTTTAATCTATTCACTGTTCATTGGAAAGATTCTTTCCCCATTGTATTGCCTTGACACCTTTGTTGGAAATCAGTTGACCATAAATGTAAGGATTTATTTCTGGACTTTCTGTTCTCTTCTTTTGCTCTGTATTTTATCCTTGCACCAATAGCACACTGTCTTATTACATTACTTTGTAATTAATTTTTTAAAAAATATTTATTTATTTGGCTGCTCTGGGTCTTCGTTGCCACATGAGGTATCTTCATTGCAGTGTGCGGGACCTTTAGTTGCAGCATGCGGGATCTAGTTCCCTGACCAGGGGTCAAACCTGGGCCCCCTGCATTGGGAGTGCAGACAGAGTCTTAACTGCTGGACTGCCAGGGAATTCCCTGTAATTAAGTTTTGATATTGGGTAGTGTAAGTTCTCCAACCTGTGATCTTTTGAAAAATTATTTTGGCTATTGTCAGTCAAAAGTTTGTGTTTCCATGTAAATTTTAAGATTATTCTATTAATTTCTATAGAAACACCTGTTGGAATTTTGATAGAGATTGTGTTGTCTTGAACCTGCAGATCAATTTGGGAAGAAATGCCACTTTAACAACATTGTCTTCCAGTCTGTGAGCATCAAATGCCTCTCCATTTATTTAGATCTTTAATTTCTTTCAGCAGTGTATTGAGGTTTTCAGTATACAGATCTTATTTGTTAAACTTCTATGCATTGTATTCTTTTTGGTGCTATTTTGAATGGAATTGTTCTCAATTTCTTGTTGCTATTATATAGAAAGACAGTGTTTATGTTGCTTTCCTATCTTGTGTCCTTGCTGAATTTGCTTTTTAGTTCTAGTAGGTTTTTGTTGATTCCGTAAGATTTTCTATATACCAGATCATATCGTCTGCAAAATAAAGACATTTATTGTACTTGCTTCCTTTCCAATCTGGATCCTTTTCCCCCTCTTTGTTTACTAGCTAGATTCTAGTATAGTGTTGAATAAATACAATGAGAGCAGAAATCTTTGCCTTATTTTTTGATCTTTGGGGAATAGCATCTAGTCTTTAACCAGTAAATATGATGTTAGTTGTAAGTTTCTCTTAGATGCCCTTTATTAGGTTGAGAAAGCTTTCTTGTATTTCTAGTCTATTGAGAGTTGTTTTTTTAAATCGTGAATGGGTGTCAGATGTTTTTCCTCTGTCTTTTGAGATGATCATGTGATTTTTGTTTATTAATCTATTAATATGGTATATTACATTAATTTGGAGATTTCAAGCCAACCTTGCATTCCTGTATAAATCCCACTTGGTATTGGTTAATAATCCTTTTTATATGTTGCTGGATTCTAATATTTTCTTAAGGATTTTTTGGGTGTGTATTCACGAGAGGTACTGTTCTCTAGTTTTCTTGAGATGTGTGTGTCTGGCTTTGGTAACAGGGTAATACTGGCCTCGTAGAATGAAGTGAGAAGTGTTCTTTCCTCTTCTGTTTTCCGAAAGGCTTGTGAAAGATTATTACTTCTTAAATATTTGATAAAATTCACCAGTGAAACCATCTGTGCTTAGACTTCCTGTGTGGAAAGATCTTAAATTACTAAATCAATTTAATTATTTAATATAGATCTGTTCAGAGTTTCTACTTCTCCCTGAGTCAGTTTTGGTTATTTTCTTTCTAGATATTTTTCCATTTCACCTAAGTTGTCTAATTTGTTGGCATAAGGTTGTTAATAATATTAATATTATTTTATAATTTTCCTTGTGGTTTCTTCTTTGACCCACAGGTATATATAGAAGTATCTTGTTTGCCAAATATTTGGAGATGTACCAAATTTGTTTCCATTATTGATTTCTAATTTAATTTCCCTTGTGATCAGGTAACTTACTTTGAATTGTGTTTTGAAGAATGTATTTTAAATTCTTTTATAATGTATTAGGAATTATTTTACAGTATAGCATTTGATCTGTCCTGGAGAATGTTTATTGAGTGCTTGAAAAAAATGTAGTCTACTTTGAGGTGGAGTATTCTATAAATGTAAATCAGGTTAAGTTAGTGATGGGGCTGTTCAGTTCTCTTACCCTTAACTGATTTTCTGCTTGTTTTATCGAATACTGAGAGTGAGGTATTGATGTCTCCAACTATGAATTCTTGAATTGTATATTTTTAATTTTGTCAGATTTTGCTTCATGAATTTTGTGGCTCTGTTAGGTGCATATCCATTTATAGTGGGATTATGTGGGATATGTTATATGGGATATGCCTTCCTGATGTGTATTGACCTTTTTTGTCATTATGAAATGCCTTTCTTTGCCTTCAGTAATATTTCTTACCAGAAAGTTTATTTTGTTTTATGTTAATATAGCCAATCTAGCTCTCTTATAGTTACTGGTTATATTATGTCTTTTCCTCTCCTTTTACATTCAACTTCCTTGTGTCTTTGAATCTAATGAGTGTTTGTTGTTGGCAGCATATAATTCAGTTGTATGTTTTTATCATCTGAAAATTTCTCCCTTTTGATTTAGTTTAGTCTAGTCACATTTAGTTGTTAATAACTTTGGATCTACGTCTTCTATTTGTACTTGTTTTCTATATGTCTCAGGTTTTTTGTTCCTTAGTTCCTCTTTTACTGCCTTCTCTGGTTTTTTACAAATATTCTTTGGTATTTTATCCCTTTGGATATTAAACTTTTTGGACATATTTATAATAGCTTTATACTTCTTACCTGCTAAATTCAACTTATGGGCCCATTAAAAGTCAGTTTCTATTACCTGATTTTTTCAGACTGTGGGTCATACTTCCCTTTTTTTTGCCTGTCTCACAAGTTTTTTTTGAAAACTAGACATTGTATATAATATAATTTTAGCAACTCTGAATTCTGACTTTTTCCCCTTGAGGTTATTATTATTATTTTTTTATTGTCTGGGCTTCATCTGTGAAATACGGAATGTGTCTGGCCTACTGATATCTCTGCTCTTTTTTTAAAAAAAATTGTTTTAATGTTTTAGCGTAGTTTCTCTTATGTACTGGCTGTTTGCATCCCCCTGAAATGCATATGTTCAAATCCCAAAGTGATGGTATTAGGGATGGGGCCTTTGGGAGGTGATTAGGCCATGGTGATAGAGCCTTTGTGAATGAAATTACTTCCCTTATAAAGGAGACCCCAGAGAGCTCTCGTGCCCCTTCTGCCATGTGAGGACACAGTGAGAAGATGGCCATCTGTGAACCAGGAAGCAGGCTCTCACCAGACACCAGATCTTGTTGTGCCTTGATCTTGGTCTTCCCAGCCTCCGAAAATGTGAGAAGTAAATCATGTTTAAGCCACCCAATCTGTGGTGGTTTTGTTATGACACCCCAAATGGACTAAATTTCCTAGAGTTCACCCCTGCATCTACATAGCTTAGTGGTCAGCCCGTATTTGGGTAGAGGTTTTGCCCGAATACTCAGAAGCATAGAGCTTTTCTACCTTCTGCTGACGGATCTGTGTGTCGGTTGGGGAGCACTGTCAGAGTTCAGCCATTCTCACTTCTGCTTCTACTTTCTGCAGGGCCTTCTCCTATTTCTCCTGCACAGTCAGCCAGGAATGTATGGGCAGCTTACCTTGTACTTTTTTGGGTCTCTCATTTCCAGGCTGTTTTGCCATTTGCCCCATGTGGTGGGCATAATAATGGCCCTCCAGAGACATTCTCATCCTGGTCCCCAAAGCCTGTGGCTGTGTTAGCTTACATGACAAGGGGAAATTAAAGTTCCAGATGGAATTGAGGTTGCTGATCAGCAGACCTTAAAAGAGGAAAATTATTCTGGATTATCTGGTGGCCTCAGTGTAACCACAGAGGTCCTTAAAAGTGTGAGAGAGAGGCAGAAAAAGAGTCAGAATGAGAGGGAGATGTGCCTAGGAGAGAATGGTCGGAGAGAATGGTCAGAGAGATGCAATGTTTCTGGCTTGGAAAATGGAGAAAGGGGACCAAGGAATGTGGGCATCCTCTGGAAAGTAGAAAAAGCAAGGAAATGAGTTCTCCTCTAGAGCTTCTGAAAGGAAAACAGCCC